AAATCTCGTGAAGAAGTTCCAAGACTTGTGAGGCAATTTCATGAATTTGTTTTAACTCAGTTCGATACCAGAATCAAGATTTTCAGATCTGACAATGCAAAAGAGTATTTTGAGAAGAGTTTATCCTTGTATCTCTCTGACATGGGAGTTATTCATCAAAATTTTTGTGTTAGAACCCCTGAACAGAATGGAGTTGCTGAAAGAAAAAATWGGCATATTGTTGAAGTTGCAAGGAGCCTTTTGTTTGCCTCACATATTCCCACAAGATTTTGGGGTGATGCTGTTCTCACTGCTACCTATCTCATAAACCGTATGCCATCTAGGGTTCTAGGGTTTAAATCCCCTTCAGTCTTCTTCATCCAGACAAGGATCTCTTCCCGATTCCTCTCCGTGTGTTTGACTGCACCTGTTATCTTCACATTCCAAGTGCCCAGAGACATAAGTTTGTACCAAAAGTCCACAAATGCATCTTCCTTGGTTATTCCCCCACACAAAAGGGTTACTGTTGTTTTGATCCAAAGACTGGCACTTGATATGTCTCAATGGATGTTACCTTTGATGAACTTTCTCTTTTTTATGGGTCATCTCAGGAAGAACATTGTCAACAGGGGGAGAGTTTGTCACAAGTGTTTGCTCTTCCTCTCCCTGTCCCAGTTGAGTCTCTTGATGAGCTTGTGTCCTCACCAAATGAATCAAGGGTGGACCAGTCACTTCATTCTTCTTGTCCTAGTGCTCCTATCTCTTTACCTCCTCGTCCTATCCACAATCCCAAGGTGTATCAAAGGCAAAGGTCCAGGAATGTGTAGGTTGTTTCCCTTACAGCAGATGAGCCTCATACACTTCCAATCACAGATGAGACAACAGGTGCTGTTTTAACCTCTTTGGAACCATCTTTCCTGGATCTTGATGTTCCTATTGCTGTTAGGAAAGGAAAACGGAAATACACTGCACACTGCATTTCCAAACACCTTTCTTATGACCTACTTTCTCCTTCATACTTTGCCTATCTCTCTTCAGTTGCTTCTAACCCTATTCCTAGRTYTGTGTCAGAAGCTCTTGAGATTCCAGAATGGAGAGATGCCATGAAATCTGAAATGGATGCCCTACACAAAAATGATACTTGGGAAGTTGTGGATTTGCCTGAAGGGAAGGATCCGATTGGTTGCAAGTGGGTCTTTACCATTAAATACTGGGTTGATGGGACTATTAAGAGGTATAAGGCCAGACTGGTTGCCAAAGGCTACACACAGACGTATGTGATTGATTACCTGGAGACCTTTGCTCCTGTTGCTAAGATGACATCTGTGAGGGTTCTCTTATCTCTGGCAGCTCACTTTGATTGGCCCCTTTATCAGTTGGATGTAAAGAATGTGTTTCTGAATGGTGACTTACATGAGGAGGTCTATATGTCTCTCTCTCCAGGAATGTATGGAAGTGATATGCAAGGAAAGGTATGCAAATTGAAGAAATCTCTTTATGGCATCAAACAGTCTCCTAGAGCATGGTTTGAGAAATTTAGAACAACACTTGTTAAATTTGGCTACACTCAGACACAGTCAGATTATACTCTTTTTGTGAAGAGAAGTGAATCTCTGGCAGTATATCTCATTGTGTATGTTGGTGACATTGTTGTGACTGGTAATGATGCCTCAGGAATTCGTGCTCTTAAGTCTTTCCTTCGTATAGAATTTGAGATTAAGGATCTGRGGGAGTTGAGATACTTCCTTGGCATAGAAGTTGCTAGATCCAAGGATGGGATTCTTATCTCCCAAAGGAAGTATGTCCTTGACTTGCTCTCT